ATAATTTAATTTATAAATTATAAGTTTATTTATAACTAATAATCTTCTGCATTTTTTTTGCTCAAATTGAAATAAACTTTTTGAAAAAATTTAAAATTAGCCTGTTTTCAGTAATAATATTACATAATACCAAAGTAACTTTTACAATATTTAAATGAGATGAAGACTATTTTAGTGCAAATGCCTCCACATAACACAATAGAAACCATTATTACATTCTGAATTTTTTGCTTCTTGCCTTCAGTATAACCATCAGCGTATACTTTTGTATTCATTCTTCAATATTTTGAAAAGCTGTAAATCAGAATGAGCTAATAATTACTTCAAGTAGCGATATTTTGTAAAATAATTCACTGCATAAATTTGAATTTAAATATGATACTATTCTTTTTCATCTCAAATGTATGTGTATTTTTCCTCCTATATTATTTATTTATTATTTGTATAATCTTTATTTTAAATATAAAATACTTGCAATAACTCTTTAGAATAATAAAATATATTATCTATTTCATTTGTTTTTCAGTCAAAAAGTATAAAAGTGTTACTGAAGTCGAAAGTATCTTCACGGCAACTGTTTTTTCTCGTCAAAAAAGAGGCAATGACTTCAGTTTACTATTTATGATATTATAATTTCTTTCAACTTACATTACGGAAAGCAAAAATTTACGTTTATGCGTTTTATGCGTATGCGAATTGTTAATTTCTGATATTAATTATGATATATTATTATTTTTTATCCCTTCTTGATTTTCTGCATAATTTTTGATATATTATTCTGAGATTGAAGCAAAGCTGAAGTGAAAATGATCAATGCAGAAATGATCGCAGAATGTATGTAAATTTTTCTTGGCTTCTAAATGGTATTCTTTCTTGTTTCAAGAGAATATTATTTGATTGTTATCTGATATTTGATTGACAAACTAGTGATTATTTGTTAAAGTGTAAGATAAGAAATAAATATGAAAAACTTAACATAACCTGAATTCTACCTAAAAACTGTAATTTTTTATTTATACTGCAGAAATGTACAAAAATAAACTAGACAACTTAATGAAACAGTACATCACGAACTTGCCTTCCATTCATTACTTCTGCTCCGTGAAGTTGCTGACTTCAATCACGCATCAAATTACTTATACAAATATTTTATTCACCGGAATTAATATCTTTATAAATATGCATAAATACACAAAGACTAAATAATAAAAGTTTTGCGCAAGTAATCTTTCGATTTTAAGAATTTGCAAACATGAACATTGGAAAATATCTGCATTATGTATAAATTTAATCTTACAAAATTTGCATATTTAATTAATAAAACTTGTTTAGCATATTTTGTCATATATTTTAAAGCATTTAACCATTGCTCTTAAAGATAAATTATATAACAGTCACATTTTCAATTATGTTTTATTATAAAAACTTTATGTAACTTTATTTTATGGAAATCTGTCATAAGACAATTTGCTATTCATAATATACGCTTACGTACATACTTACAAATTTAGGCGGTTTTGTTACGTTAATGTTAAATTATACTATAAATTATATCGCTTTTTTATAGTGTAAAATAATTAAGAATAATAAAATTTAATTGCTTATCAAAAATATTTTCTTACATTTAAAATATTTCACTTTCATTACAAAATATTCGATCAGCAAGCGTTTGAAATCACTTTTTTTGTTAAAAGGACCTATTAAATAGAATTAATTTCTTTTTTATACGTTGAGAAAATGCAATTTATGTACAGCAAACTTTGACATTGCATATTAGTAATATAAGTATTGAAGTTGACAACAGTCATACATATTAGAATATTAATATTAATATTAATAAATTAGTCACCATTAATTACTTAACTCAACTTCACCACTAATAATTTACAACTTATATAACAACTGTGTAGCATCTGATAAATCTGTCGTAGATTTTATGTACAATTTATAGATATCAAATAGCAGACAACAGATTTTGAGTACTAAATAACAAATTATGAACAATTGAGCTTCTGTTTATTCTCAGCAAATATTTGCATATTTAATTTTTTAGTGTTTCCAGACTGATCAAGTAAGTATAATAACATTTCAGAAAATATCTTTTATTTTTAAGATATAAATTTAACTCAAAGTTTTATTCTTAAATTTTGAATTTTACAAACAAACAATATCAAACGAAATAAAAATATTATTTTTAGTAAGTATTAACAAGCAGAAGTAAGTGGTAGTAAGCAGTGGTAACTAGCAAAAGGTAGTGGTAAGTGGTAGTGTGAAAAGCACCACGTAGTGATATGTATTAGCAAGTGATCAACGTATAATAAGATGTTTGAATCACGCAAAATTACTGTAATTTTTTAGTAATGTTTTGAAGTATTATTAAAAATTGTTAATTACAGGCACAAAGTTGAAGTTATTTATACTTTCATAATTAATAAAAGTTAATAATTTATAGAGATCTGATTCATTTCGTATTCTCTAACATATATTTAAGTAAAAGCATAGATTCCTACACTTATTAATGTTAATTTTAATACCTCAAGAATATTTATCATTACTTAATCATTTGACATTCTCCCTAAATTAATTAGCATCTTAAAAGTACATTTACGAAAACATAAAAAGCTATTATTTATTATTTCGGCTTGCACTTAATTATTATAAAAGATTACAGTAATAACAAACTATAATTTACAGTCTCAACAAACTTATTTGCATATAATGACGAAGATTGTACGAATACAAAAAAAATTTATACATATGCATAAAGTAACAATACCCAAATAAATACATACCCCAAGAACAAATGTAAAGCATGAAAGCAACCAGCATGAATTGAGCGAATATGATAAAGATGTGCTAATTTATTTCCATATCAGTTTGCGATGCTTCCCATTTTGGATCGTAACCTTGCCAGGTATCTCGATCAGGTGCTACGTAAATTCGTTTTCCGTAAAAAAAACAAGTTACTACACCAAAATAAGCCGTTCGTGATACTCCTTCCTGAAAATTTTATAGCGTTATTTTTCTGTACAAAAACTGATTCTTCATCAATCATGCTACAACAGAAGTTCAAAAATTCATTTGTATACTGAACTTTTACTCATTTTGTTAGAAATTTAATTTTCTAGAATTCATTATTTACCAATTCATCAAAATTAAATTGCATACAGAAATTTACACAGATTAAAGTAAAATTATCCTAAAATCAATGTTTATTGAAGTAGAAATTCAAATTTATACTTGAAATTAAACTCTGATATCAAATAAATATTAAATGATAAAAAATGAATATAAAAAATATTTTAAAAATATCAGAAAACACTAATAATATTCGTAGTTTGGGAATGACAACCTTGAAATCTCGCATTATTTTCAAATATTTAGCAATTTGAAGATATTCTTTTAATGTTTTATACTGAATTCGCATGGCTTTAGAATCCAAAGACTGGAATTTCCATGGCAATTCCTTAAGTGAAATTACAGGCGCCGAATATACATTTTCAAGAAAGGCATTATCATAGCTCTCCTGAATTTTTATAATTTAAGAATTTTATGACCTTATCAAAAAACTTTACTTGTTCAAAAATTACTTACTTCAAACAAATGAAACACTTACAAAATTAATTTTGTACAACTTTCACTTATTAAATTTAAAAATTAATGGAATAAATGATTGCAATTTTCAAATTATTCATAGTAAATTGGCTCAATCATTCAGTTTATGATAAATTTCAATAGATATTATCACAAGATTATTATTATTACAGTCGTTTTAATAAAAAGATATCGGTAGTTTAATAACACTGCAGCACTGTAGGTTTTACTATTAATATTTATTTCTTAATAAAACCAAATCAACCATTTAATACCTTTACTGGTGAACTGACTATCAAAGTGTATTGGTCAGTTCACCAGTAACAATATTAAATGCTGACCTATCAAAGTGGATAGGTATTGATTCTTTAATATATGAACTGAGTGAAAATTTACCTTGAACAGATATGATAAATCAAGTTTTGTAAAATTAGTGAATACATCGTTGACAACAATTTTCGCGAGATGCTGAGTGAAAAATAGCCCTCTGAAATAGATTACATTTCTAAAATTTTTGTGAAATGTGCAATAATCATCAAATTGTGTGAATAAGTCGATATAACTTAAGTAATTCTTCAAAAATAAATTAGAGTAAAGCTTGTTATTGATTAACTTTTCTTTACAACCTAATCTCAAAATGATTAATAAGTTTTTGATGATTAAACAAAATATAAAGCAATACCTACTAGCACCTTTCTTCCCTTCAGGAGTCATTCCAGTACGAGATATTTCAGGTCTAATACACGCTCGACTTTTACGTACTGAATTGTTACGCATCCAATCATCCCAAAATCCACTGGGCCATATTGGACCTAGCTCATTCCACAATTTTCTACAAAAAAAAATCTTAATCTTTAATAAAGGTTTGACAGAAACTTACTTGTTTTTTAGTATATTTTTGGAAGATTATTAGTTCAGTACTATTATTGTTTTTACTATTATGAATGAAAATTGTCCTACGCACTCAACTAATACAATCTACAATCTACCCAATAACTAATATAATCTACAATCTACAAATACAATCTTCAACAATATTGTTATTTATTGTTATTAATCATAACGTCTATTTTTTACCTGTACTGATTTCAAATTCA